ATAACTGCGGACTTGACTGTTGTATTTACCTGCCCAGAGAAATTTACCTGGAGGAATTAGTGTACTCACTCCGTAAGGCCCTTTTACCTACACATTGTGTTTGCGAATCATTACATACAAATTACTTATAAAAACCGAAACTACTATACCGATACCTACAATGACTACGTCTCCGACCACCAACCCCTTTCTCGGGCTGCCAACAATGCAGCAATTTCAAGAGGCTTTTAACGATCTCCGAGGGCAAATTGCCGCTCAACAAAGCCTCATCGATACTCAAGCAGCCCAGCTGCGAAGCTTTTCGAGAACTGTCCCAGCCGTCCAAACCAATGTAGGGAATGTTGGAGTTGCCACTGGAATGGCCGCTGGTGGACTCATCGGAGTCAAGGCTGTAAAGCCTACTCCATTTGAAGGGACTCGAGGCGATGAAGCCCGAGCATTTATCTCATCTCTCCGCCTTTATCGGGCGTTAAACGTCACGGCTTTTCCTACCGATACAACCTTTATTCTCTGGTCCTTAGCTCTCATCCAAGGAAAAGCACGCCCATGGGCGCAAGTTGTCACTGACGAAGCGCTCGAAACCCTTGCGGAACCAAACGAACCGCACCCACTTTACGTCCTCGACTTTGAACAATTCGTCAAACACTTCTCAACCTCATATTACGACCTCGACGCCGAACGAGTTGCCGCGAGGAAACTCGAACTCCTCAAACAAATAGGACCAACCTCCGACTACCTCGGAGAATTCAGAAGACTTTGCCGAATCGCCGGCTACGAGATGAACACGTTCCAGACCATGCGAGCGTTTAGGAATGGACTAAAAGAGCATGTTAAAGATGAACTGGCGCTAAGAGATGAACCAGCCACCTTCGACGCCCTTGCGGACCTAACAGTCCGCATCGACAACCGACACTGGGAGCGACAACAAGAGAAAAGAAGTACCGCTACAGCAAAACCCACACCCTTCTCACCTCCTCGCTCAACAACAAGTCAGGCGCAAAACTGGCGCACGACGTCCGCTCCACCACGCTTAAATCCATTCAATTCTATGCGATCACCAACCATTACTGCTCCGCCGCCTGATCCAAATGCCATGGACATCTCTGGAGGAAAGAAACGTATCACTCCGCAAGAACGCGAACGCCGCACCAAGAACAATCTTTGTATGTATTGCGGACAGGCTGGACACACAGTCCAAGCCCATCGTCTTCCCCAGAGAGTAAATGCAATCACCGTCGAAACGCCTCCATACCCATGGGGGCAGTATGTACCAACACCAGTAACACAACAGTACTACGCTCCAGCGCAAGTACCGCCACAGCCATACTTCGCGGCGGCAACCTATCAAGCATCGCTTCCGCCACCACCACCACGCCGATTACTTCCAACGGCACCACAGCATGTATCATCGCCATCCATTGCTTCCACGGTACTTGCTGCACCCAAGGACAATCTCGTCGACTTGGATTTTTAAAGACGCCTCGGGTGAAAGTTGTGTCCCCGAAGGCTCCCCGTATAAAGTATGGACCAAGGCCCTGTGTAAATATACGAGCATCTGTACTACCATACTCAGAACAGAATGCACGCCATTTAGTTATTGACACAAAGCTTGATACGGGAAAAATCACAACGCCGCATGCCATGATAGACTGCGGTGCAACAGGCATTTTTATCAATGAACGGTTCGTCGCAAAGGAAAATCTCTCTAAAGTTCCACGAGAATTCCCACTACCAATCAAAGACATCGATGGACGATCACTTGGCACGGTCACGCATCAGGTTAAAGGCACGCTTCGAGTCCAGAACCACGAAGAAGAAACGTTATTTGACGTCGCACCCGTCGGACGCTATCCTCTTGTATTAGGATTGCCCTGGCTCCAAAAACACAATCCTGATATTGATTGGTCTACTGGAAGAATTGTATTCGGCTCGGCACACTGCTCCGCTCGCTGTCTAGATAAAGCACCCGACGTAGTCGCAAGAACGGATGACGCAATCGATCTTGTAGACCCAATGGATGATGACGAAGCGGACATATTCGCCATGGACATAGCCACCAAGAAGAACCTCTCGGCAGAAATCGCTTCTAAGCACAAGGAAGCACCAAAACCAATTGAGGAAATTGTCCCTTCTGAATATCACGACCTTCTTGACGTCTTTTCGAAAGAAAGCGCCTCGAAACTTCCGGAACACCGTCGGTATGACTGCGCGATCAACCTCATCGAAGGAGCGGAATTACCAAAACCGTCTGGCCTTATCCCCATGTCTGACTCCGAGCTCAAAGAACTTCGAGAATGGCTCGATGATATGTTGGCAAAAGGATTCATTGAACCATCTGTCTCACCTATCGCCGCACCCTGTTTCTTTGTACCGAAGAAAGATGGAACTAAGCGACTTGTTGTCGATTGGAGAAAACTTAACGCTATTACTGTCAAAGATCAATATCCAATCCCCCGCATGGATGAGATCATAGACCGCTTACGCGGCTCCACTATCTTCTCAAAGTTCGATCTACGGCACGGCTACAACCAAGTCAGAATCCGTGAAGGCGACGAATGGAAAACGGCTTTCCGCTGCCGCTACGGAAACTACCAGTTCAATGTTATGCATTTCGGACTCACCGGCGCGGTCGGAGCCTTCCAACGCTTCATCAATGATACTCTCGGACCCTTACTCGATGTTGAATGCACAAATATTCTTGATGACACTCTCTCTTTCGCGAAGTCGCTCCCTGAACACATCGCAACAAACCGAGAAATCCTACAGAGATTCCGCGCGAACCACCTATTTTGCCGAGCAGAAAAATGCGAGTTCCACAAACAAGAAATTGATTTCATCGGAGTACGCGTCACCACTAAGGGGTTCGAAATGGACAAATGGAAAGTCGAAGCAATCCAAGATTGGAAACCACCACGAAATCTCAGAGAAGTCAGAGAGTTTTTAGGCTTTATCGGCTTTTATCGGCGGTTCATTAAACAATTTTCACACACGGCAAGGCCACTTCATGATCTTGAGAAAAAAGATGTACAATGGCACTGGGGAGAACGGGAGCAGGCCGCATTCGATCAATTAAAGAATGCAGTGACCACCGCACCAGTGCTAGCGCATCCCGATCCCGAGAAGCCTTATACCATGGAAACAGACGCATCCGGATACGCTTACGGCGCAATTCTGTCACAGAAACAGGAGTACGATCGAAAACACCACCCCATTGCATTCTTGTCAAAATCAATGTCACCCGCCGAGCGAAACTATGATATTTATGACAAGGAAATGCTTGCAGTAGTCCGAGCACTGCAGCATTGGCGACAATACCTGGAAAGCACCCGAGACC